CACAAGTGCACGAGTTGCTAGAATATTACATACAAAGGTATGAAATAACATAAAGTTGTTCGAAAAGAAGATACACAGCTAAATAAGAACAAGAAGGTGATTTCAGGAGCTGCGAGCGCTGAGCAGTTGTACCTCAAGTCTCCGTAAGCTGTCTGATCCGAGCTCTCTAGTAGCTACGGTTGGGACCGACTCCAAAATCTATACAATGTGCAGAGTGTGGTATCAGTACAACGACCCTATGTACTGGTAAGTATTGAGCTTAACCTCGACGAAGTAGTGATGAGGCTAAGGCGAGTTACCTATACTATAACCTGTACGCAGTATATAATAATGATACAATAATGGAAATACTGAACAGAACTTAAACAGCCAACAAAAATTAATAACCACAGCCTCGAAAATACACCAGTGTCATCCAGAATTATCAATCTTTACCATTTCAAATAATAATACCGAGTAACAACGCAACTCAGGGAATGGAAACATATAGGTTATTGTGACGCACAACCCGATCTCACCAGACAATACAAAATCCTTCCTTATTCTACCGTAGCAATATCAATAACAGTAAATATTATATATATTTGTTGTGGCGTGCAACCCGATCACACCATATATTAATATTAATAATTCACCATTCTTTCACCATGTCAATCCACCCTTATTTTACCTATTGCGGTGTGCAACCTGATCCCACCGTATAAACATATTTACCCTTATTCCACCATATTAATCCTCCCTTATTACGCCTGTTACGGCGTGCAACCCGATCCCACCATATCAATACCAAAAACTCAATGTACACAGTCAAATCAACAATCTAAATCACAAGGCCTTTACGATGAATAAATACCAAACTGAACCAAGAAAAGGAAACCTTGTTCCATATAAAATCTACACAAATAATACTGCTCAGCAAGACCAACCCAGCAATTTACAATTAGAAGGTACAAACAAGTCAAATTAAGCAAATAACAGGGATTAGGGAACTATGAAAAGAGTTAACATGGTTAACACAAGAAGATATTGATTAACACGTAGCAGTTAAGCATGAAAAACATTTAGAGCATGTAACAATTAAGATATAGAAGGAAACAGTTAAGGAAAAACAGTAATTCAGGGAAGATAGATAATTTGGCGACGTATAAGCACTCATCACCTCGCATATACGCCGCTCACATGGATTTCACATATCATATAGTATGAGGGTTCCTAATTCCCTCAAGTCAAGGTTAGACACAATACTTACCTCTCTCCAAGGATCACTCGAAGCTCAACCATGGCTTTGCCTTTCAACTAGCCTCCGAACCAACAATATCTAGCAAATTACCAACCAAACAGTTCAAAATTAGCCTTAGGAATCACCCAAGATAACCAAATTTCGATTTAGGTCATTATTGAAGTCAACAAAAGTCAACACCCGCTGCTTGGTCCAAATCCAAAATTCAGATCAAAATCCGATTACCCATTCGCCCCGAGCCCGGGTATACAATTGATTTTGGAATCCGACCTCAATTTGAGGTCTAAATTCTCAAATTTCGAAATCCCTAGTTTCTATCCAAAAATCCCTAATTCCACCTTGAAAACCTTAGATCTTAGGTTAAAGATTTGTGAAATGTAATGGAAGATTGAAAGAAAATGAGTTAGAATCACTTACCAATGCTTTGGGGAAGAAAAGGTTTTTGAAAAATCGCCTAGAGAGTTTTTTGTTTTGAAAGTTTTGAGAAATGAGTAAAAATCCCGTCTAAATTAAGTTTTACACAGCTGCAGATGTCGCAAATGTAACCAGGGGTTCGCAATTGCGAGAAACACTTCGCAAATGCGAAGCTTTCCCCAACCCTGATGTCTTCGCAAATGCGAACAGTTGTTCGCAAATGCAACCTGAGTTAATCGCAATTGCGAAGGTCCCCTCCCAGCCCCACTGCTCGCAAATGCGATGATCTTCACAAATACGAGGCTCGCATTTGTATGCCAGACCTCGCATATGCGAAGTCTGCAGACCTAAAGCACACCAGCTATGATTTCTAAGTCCAAAACAATCCGTAGCCTATCTAAAATTCACCCGAACCCTCGGGGCTCCAAACCAAATATGCACACAAGTCTTAAAACATCATACGAACTTGTTCGTGCGATCAAATCACCAAAATAATGTCTAGAACTATGACATTAGCACCAAATCAAATGAAATTTTCAAGAAAACTTTCAATCATCTATTTTCACAACCGGACGTCCGAATCACGTCAAACCAACTCCGTTTCTCACCAAATTTCACAGACAAATTATAAATAATGTATTGGACCTATATAGGGTGAATCAAAATGCGGACCCGATATCCAAAAAGTCAAACCTTGGTCAAACATCTCCATTTCATTAAGTCTTTAACTTTCAAATTTCGACAAAGTCCAATATCTCGGCTAGGGACTTTTGATTTCGATTCCGGGCATATGCTCAAGTCCCAAATCACGACACGGACCTACCGGGACCGTCAAAATGCGAATTCGGATCCGTTTACCAAAAATATTGATCGAAATCAACTCAAATAAAGCTTTTAGGCAAAATTTCTTATTGTCATCAACTTTTAACATAAAAACTTTCCGAAAACATATTCGGACTGCGCGCACAAATCGAGGAGGATAAAAATAAAATTTTTAAGACTTAAAAGCATAAAATTGAGTTCTAAAACACAAGATGACCTTTCGAGTCATCACAACAACAAGAACTGGATCTTCATAACCAACAATGTCAAACACTAGAGCAACTGGTAGTAATTCGAAGTCTTCCTAGTATTACATTAGTACGACTCACTTCCTTTTTAGATTTTTTCATTTAATTTAAATAAGACTCCAAATCGGCCTTAGTTTATCCATATATATTAATTATACTAAGTGTAAATATTTGATGCGTATAAATTTTTATTGGCGATGATGACTAATCATGTTTGTAAAGATTTGTGATTGAGTAGTCAAAAGAACACATTTGAATTGATTTAGAATATTTTTTTTTTTGAGAATTGGGAGGATTACTATCAATAATTTTTACTAATAAAAAGGACCACGTATGCAAAAGTCAGGCCTTGTTAGCAAATCAAGAGTAAAAAGCTTAAATTATAATTGGGATTACATAACTATATTCTTTCTTACTGATCCGACAGCAAATAACTATCTAATCACAAAATATTACCTTTTTATCCAAGTCAATAGTGCCCAAATTCATTTGAATAATTTTGTACAAACTTTCTCTTCCCCCCCCTCCCCCCCTCATTTCTTCTAGCTCTATACAACAACAGTCCGTGAAATTTCATAAGTGGGGTCTGGGGAGGGTAATTTCATAAATGGGGTCTAGGGAAGGTAGTGTGTACGTAGACCTTACCCCTACTCTGGGGAATATAGAGGTTGTTTTCGATAAATTCTCGGCACAATAAGATGAATTTATCTAGGCCTAACTATACATGATTTACAAAAACATGAAAAAACTTACCTGAAAGATCCTCAAAAGATATAGAATACACGTGCAACACACATGCAATATACAAGTTCATAAACTATTTATAAAAAAGCAGGAAAGAAAAATACCTAATCGATGCATCAACAATATCTAATGTCTATGTGGAATAAGGAACTAATTGGTACTTAATTAGTTTAATATCTTCATTTATCTATGCCTAACTATACATGATTGGATACATTAATTACACGAGGTATTTAAACACAGTAATTCCATATATCACTTATAGGAATTACCACATATCCCACGTATTTACGGCATCATGTTGTATTATCATTCATTTAGATGTGTATAGCATTTTTTTGTTAAGGAACGAAACTTTTTTCCACTTAAGTACTCGTATCGCAAATTTTCAATATATTGTCTCCAACAATATCCTTTACGATAATTTCATAAAATTTTATAATTGTAGTTCGCTTACATACTAAAAATCAAATTACAGTGTGATTGTTTTTATCAAGTTTACTTCTTTAATTAATACTTTAAAACTTGTTACTTGTTTCATCTATAACACATAATTCTAATTAATATACAAATTTATTTAAAATGTTAAAAGATGTCATATATTGAGACACTTCTTGTGCCTTTTTTTCTTCTTCTCCATAATCATATTAGTGGTTGAAGGGGATAGGGAGTAGCTTTTATAATTGCACTATAAGTATAAATTTGTTATTCTTTTCATCATTGATTAATATTAAAATAGATACTTCATCCTTTGAACCAAATATGAAGTCTATAAAGTAAATTAAACTTATATGCACCATATTAACGATAAAGAAATAAAACAAATTTTAAAAACTGAAAAGTAAACTTAGTAAGAAAAAATATCAAAAAAAAAGTTTCACTTTAAAAAGATTTTAACTTTAAAATTTAATTTTCAATACAAAAGTGTCAAAAGATTAATTCTTAGAATAATATCTACTAATATACAGAGTAATAAATTAACTAATAAGGATTTGTGATTGAATAGACTGTTGAATAACTAGTAGTAAGAATTTGTGTTGATACAAAACTCGCTGTGAGAAAAAAAAAGAACTAAATAAAGAGAAAATGCAAAGAAGGAAAAGGCTCAATTTTCAGTCGATATATGCTTCTCGAAAGTGCATTACATCAGGTATAAGGAAAAAAGGGAAAAAAGATAATGTACAAAAATCTAACTAGAGGTGTCAGAATAAGATTACTATTAGTTTCAGGACTAAAGTGTAACTTCAGAAACTTTGATGAAGCTTCATTTACAGCATAGACCAAAAGTACACATTTAAATTAATTTCAAATAGGAAGGATTTCTTGAAAATTGTAAGGACTACTATCATTATTTACCAATAAAAAAAGGACCACATGTGCAAAAGTCCCAGAAGGAACATATACTTACTAAAATATCGCAGCCGTCGTGAGCAAACTCAGATTAAAAGCATAAAATATAATTTAGAGTAAATAACTATCCTTTTTATTTTCTCATCAGACAATAAATAACTATCTAATCACAAAGGATTCCCCATATTATCCAAGTCCATTAGTACCCAAATCCTCTTAAGACAGTTCCGTACAGATTTTCTCCTCCATTTCTCTCTCTCTCTCTCTCTCTCTCTCTCTCTCTCTCTCTCTCTGGTTTCTTCCAGCTCCCCGATTTCAAACTCGCTGCAGATTCAGCTATATTCACTTCGAATTTTACCCACTCATTTCAATTTTGCAATTGTTTCGAATTTTGAAGGCAGAGGGTATATTGGATTTGCGGTGTAGAATATTGATGGCTGCGAGCGCGAACCCCTCGGCGGGTAATAATAACAATAATAGTGGTGGTCAAGAAGGCACCAGCAATGCGAATGGCGCCACCAGTAATGGTCTCTCCGTTCCGGAAAATTCTGTGGTTGGCCCCACACAGGCGGCTCTACGACACAATCCAGGTCTTGCCGTCGATTGGACTCCCGACGAACAGTCTCTCCTCGAAGAATTGCTCGCCAAGTCCGTATAATTCCTTCCTCTTTTTTTATTAGTTTTGTTCCTTCACTCTGTATAAATCTTTCTCTTACTTTTGTAGTCTTCTTTGGAGTTTTAGTATATTTAAGTTTGCTAATGTTCGGTGTCAATTGGTTTGTGAATATAACACCCCATGTATCCTTCAATCTTGTTGTGAAAAAGTGAAGAAACTTTAGAATCTTGTTTTGAGTTCTGAATTTAACAAACTAAATCTAATTCTAGCAAATCCAATTCTTGATGAAGCTCATGTTCATCTGTAATTTGAAGATATAAAGATGTCAGTTTAATATGTCTGCATCTGAGGGGGTTAGTTAGATCCCTGTTGCGCCAAAAATGCTCTCAACTGGCAATGGTACATGACACTCGCAACGGTCTTGGACTTCTGTTTCCTTTTTGTTTGGGCGGATGGGCGAGGAATGCGGAACCCTACAAGTTTTAGGGTACCTTCGTGAAACTTTATATAGTGGATGTATCTTTTTGAATAATTTAGACAAGATGTAAACTGCTTAAAGGTAATCTAATGATTAGTTAATTCTTCATCCTGGTGGATTGTGTTCTGGATGTTGTAATTCACTTCACTATCTTAAAAGTACATTAATAACATCTGTTTTGTGCTTCATTGGCTCCTTGAGCTTTGCATGGGAGTCATTAACACTTCTATGATGATGCATCTTCTGGATGCCAATATTAATATAAAAGTTTATTTACTTCATAACGAAATAGCTATAATGACAATGATCTTGCAACCAACTTGGAAATTTACCCGACAGAGCTTGCTATATTACGTGTAAAGGAGGGAAGAGAATAACCCGATGGCTATAGAAATCCTTGTATCAGTTAATAACTATATGTTATGAATGAAAATGGCCAAGAGGCCACGGTGGGGGACACATTGCGAAAGTTAGCAAATTTTGAGTGGGACATATATTTAGGAGCATGTGAGGCAATTGTATTGAGTGGTCTTGTAATTCCCTCGTCTCCCTTCTTCTCTGGCTTCTCCTCCTTCCTCTGTATCTCTCTCACTCAACCCTCTTATTTCCTTGTTACTGTTTTTATTGCAACTTCCTTACTGTTGTTCCGTGTATTTGATCCTGCAGCTTCAATACACACACACATATATATATTTGATGAAGTGATCCTGCAGCTTCAATATAACTTAGTTGCTCCTTTACAATGTGTTTAGAGTGCTTAGAGTTCAACATATTGGTACTTTCATTGCTCATACTCCATGACTCTGTACTTTTCTACCATGATAAACACTCAACTCAACACCATCTTTGAATTAATGATGGCGATGCAAGAGAATCTCTATCGTCTGCTCCTCCAATCTGACAACGCTTTGTCCTGTGCTTCTTAACTTGATAATGTGGTGTTCGCCTGCTCCAAGCCATTCATTGATGCACAATGAGATCCAACTATCTTTTACCTCTGTGATGGAATCTGATTTGGTTGATATAGAATCATATGAGGACAAGGTATTCAATGAAAGATCTCTACGAATCAGCTATATGTCCAGCACATTGGAGTTCAAGCGCTCTGCTGCTACTGAGATTTTGGCTGTCGAACCTACGGAACCCACACGGAATGAAGTCATTGCTTCCATTATCCCAAAACTAATGTTAGAGGGTAAAAATACCATTTAGGCTGCTACTACTTTTACTACTAACATGCTGGAAGGGTGTGATGCGTTTAGCCCATCATTTTGGAAAACCAGTTCATTACCACAAATGAGGAGAGGTTGGGACTTGGGACTGCTAGGAAATTGTTTGACGAAATGCCCAGTAGATATATGCTTTCCCAGAGTGTTTGTTGTGCTCGTATGGGTGAGATCGAGAAGGTATTAAAATTTTCAGATTTTGATACTTTTCTTTTAATGAAATTGCTGCACCACATCAAGCTGCCTTGGTACATATTTGTCTCAATTTCATCAAATTGAGGAAGGGAACACTATGTTTCGAATATTTAAAGCAAAAAGAGAATCAGGGTTGACGAGATATGGAGTTATCTTCTAGAGATTCTATGATTTTGAACCAGATTATGTTACACTTTACACCATTTTTGGATAGAAACGCGTATGCTGTTAGCTGACTTTAGCGGTGCAACAGGGACATTGAAGTTAAAGCTGAAAGAGGAAATAAATCCTCCATTGATAAACACAAGTGCATAAATTGGCTTGATTAAAAAAAAATCAAGTTCATTGTTTACATTTGTTTTGGAAGTTTAGCAATTTTCATTACATCACAAATGCGAGAATTTTCTCTTGGAATTGAAGCTTCGGGACATGAATCTATTTAGGTTCTTAACATAGGCAAAGAGGAACCGGGCAACTATGAATGGCTGCTTGAAAGATTCTAGGATAGCACGGAAGAAAGTTCACTCAGGGTTGTAAATAGCGTTCGCCTCAACGCTAATAGCGTAAGGCGTAGCGATGCGAGCATCCAACACCGCTTTTTTCCTCTTTGCGATGTGTTTTCAAAATAGCGTTCCCCTCTGCCTGTGTAGTGAGAGACGACTGTAGCGTCACTTTTTTAAAAAATAAAAGAAAAAGCGCAGAGATTAAAAGAAATAGATCCCGGATTAGGGCTTTCAGGGATTTCTTTCTTCTTCAATCTTCAAGCAGTCGAGTAGACTAGCGATTTCTTTCTCCAAGTCAACCCAACCACAATGATTCTTCTTTCTTCTTCATCTCTTCTGCCATTTTCTTCTTCATCCAAGTCGACCCAACCAGGTACGCTTCTCTTCTTCTCCTTTGTTCTTCTGCCATTTTTTTTCTTTCTTCTTCTTTCTTCGGTCTTCTTACTTCTTTCTCCTTTCTTTCTTTTTCTTCTTTTTTTTTTCTTTTTTTTTTGTGCTCTGTTTTTGATCAAGCAGCACTCAACAGAGAGTAGCATTCAGCTCTGTTTTTGATCGAGCAACACTATTTATTGAGTTTTTAGTTTTTGAATTGATATATTATTGCTATTGAGTTTTTAGTTATATAAATTTAATATTTTTTTTTTGTATAAATTGTCACTTCACATAAAAAAGGCGAGCGCTTCGCTTCTCACCTCTCGCCTCAGTGAAGCGGGCCCTCATCGCTATTTGTCGCTCACCTCTCGCCTCAGTGAGCGCTCCTCATCTGCTAAATTGGAACCTAATAGGAGGTGAATTTACATGTCACGAATGTTTGCACAGTATTAAGATCATTTGACACTCACTCAGATTGGGAAGAATTTCAAGGACAACAGATTTCCATATGTGCAACTGCTATGTCTGGCATTGTATTCTTTACTAGCCCTTATTTATTGGAAAGGAGTTTGTTAATCACAATGTTGTGAAGAACGTGAAGCGAGGAAAAGCGACAACCCCCATTTCATGAGAAGGGAGAAGCGAGAAGCGAGAAGCGAAGCGCTCACGTTTTTTAAGTGAAGCGGAATTAAAAAAAATTTAAAATAAATAGTGCATAGATAACACATGTAATTGCAAGCAAATGTTCAATACTTCAATTAAAAAACTAAAGAGTAGCATCAATTAAAGCACAAAATGAGCATCCTATTCTTCTGCAAGATTGTCAAATTCTTGTATTCCACTATCATTATTATATTACTCGTCATCTTCTTCAACTTCTTCTTCTTCATCAACTAGGAACAAAGTTGGGCAGAAATTTTGGGCAGAAATCGGAAAAACAGAATTATTCTGAAAAAAATTTGCCAGCATTTCGGCGCTTTTTGGACGTTTAGAAAGAAAAAGAAAAAGAAAAAGAAAAAGAAGAAAAAGAAGAAGAAGAAGAATGAAAATCAAAAGTGCAGAACATACCTGTTGAAAGTTGTTGTTGTACTGTTGAAGAAGAAGAAGAACAACCCTAGTTTGAAGAAGAGAAATCGCTGGTGTTGTTTGAAGTTAATGAAAAAGAGAGGAAGAAATCGCTGTTGTTGTTTGAAGAACCCTAGTTTCTCGCTGCTGTTGAAGTCTCGAAGAAGTCGAAGAAGTCCTGACTGTTTAGAATACCAAGTTTTTAATAAAATAGGGCTTTGGGTATTTTAAACAAAGAAGCGGACGCTTCACTGCTTCTCGCTTTTTACAGAGAAGCGGTTGCTTTTTCGTACCAGAGTCGCTTTTAATGGCAGAAGCGATGAACTGTGCGCGCCGCTTCGATTCTCGCTTAAAGCGAGGAAGCGCTCGCTTTTTTAATCACTGGTTAATCAACAGACTCTAGCCGAGTTGTGTTCATAGAAAGGAGAGATTGTTGGCATCTCCCCCGATAGGGACGGGAACAGCCTTCAGGATTTATCTCTTACCAGACACATCCGGGATCTTACCAAATTTAAAGTTTATCAAAAAACAGACTCTAGCCGAGTTGAGAGCTAAGCAGGTAAAAGAAGTTGACGTTGCTGGTACTGCTTGTCGAGATCAGATGGAGGAGTACATTTCCTTTATAATAAATGAGATGAAGGCTAGAGGATTCATATTTTGGCTTACTAGAGTTGAATTGAGCCTTAATATTGGTTGAAACCATACATTGATGATTTTCTTGTTGAGCTTGGTGGGACATGTGTAAAGTAAAGTCCCTAATGGTTATTCCCAAGTTTTGTTAGCAAGCGTAAAGAGGCAAACAATATTGTGAAGCAAGCTTTTGGAGGTCATTTTGTTAATGAACTGTTGTATTGCAATCGTGGGCATTGTTCCGAGACTTGCACGATGCTACTTGACTTGAGTTTGGAGATTGGGGTGTTGACTGTTGACAACCTAGACATAACTCTGGAATCTTTCGCAAAGGTTAAATTTCATGCTTGAATTTCAGTTTTGAGATGGATTTGATATGCATATATTAAACTTGAGAAAAATTCGGTGATCCATCAAGGCATAGAAAATGATAATCCAAATTGTTTTTATGAGTTGTAATTCTTTGATTCATACCTTTATTCTTTTCGTGAATCCCTTTCTGCAGAAAAAGTAAATATCAATAGGGATACATGTGACCCTATATTGAGGGAAGCCTGGAATTCAGGACCTTCGACGAATTGGTTGTTCCCCATGAGCTCATTCCTGTGGGCTGTGGATAATTCTCTCTGATGATTGGCTGTAAGTCTAATTTTTGAGAATGGAAATATAAGGTCAGTGCACTTTTGTATTAAGGAAATCCTGCTTGAGTTGGAGCCACAATCTTCCTCCATGTCTGATGGTTTACACTTAGGCTGGCATTTCGTGGAAGAAGAGAAGTCAAGTGTTGGGAAGAAATTATGTTTCTTTACCTTATGGGTGAGATAGATGCTAAAACATTGACATATGCTTGAACTTTGGTCAACAGGATGCTTGTGTCCAGCTTTCTTTTCTCTCGTGATAGTCCACAAGAATCAAACAGATTGGAGAGCAAAGCGCTGCTGATTTATCTTCCAAATGGAATTCCTATATCTCCCATTCCTTTAACATAGAAGTGTCAACTAAGTTGCTGAATGATGGAAGTTCTCAATTGAAGGATTATCATCCCAGTGAAGTGCTAATAAAGCATTTTTATTTGTTGATTCCCAGTCAGAATTTAACGATCTTGATTTTTTCTTAAATCTGAAGGAGTATGTTCCACTTCTTGAAGGAGAGACAAGAGGAAGCAAGTGATGGAGCGGAAAGTGACAAATATTTTATGAGAGTGTTCCTCTTTCCTGGTTAATATTGCTCTATTCGAACCACGAGGGTAAGGTTCTTTTTGAGGCGGGGTAATGAAATTGGCCAAGAGGCCATGATGAAGGACACATTTGAAAGTTAGCAAATGATGTATGGGACCCGGGTTAGGAGCATGTGAGGCAATTATATTGAGTAGTCTCTGTGCTTCTTCCCCTTTCTCTCTATCTGTCCCTTTCTCCCCCTCTTCTTTCCTTGTTACTGTTCTAATTGCAACTTCCTTACTGCTCCGTGTGTTTGATTCTGCAATTCAATATAATTTAGTTGCTCCATTACAATGTGTGTTGCGTGATTAGAGTTCAACACAAACTACGCTCTATGTAGATGAGCAAATATCATCTGGTACTTTGTTTTTCCTGTTTAAAGATTTTGATAAAGCCTTATTAATTATTATAAATATGAATGTCCTAGATATGGTCAACTGAACCATGCATTTAGCCCAGTACGACAATTCTTTCTGTTGGTTGATCAGTATTTGTTTCAATTTGCTGCATGCATTGTCAAGCAGCATCACTTACGCCAATTGTGCATTCTTAATATCTGTGTCATGGTTAACTTCTGATTTGCTTCCTATTGAAATGAACTGTTAAATGATGAATAGGAATTTTACTTTTGCAGATATGCAACAGAAAGCAACATATCTAGGTATGCTAAAATTGCAATGCAGTTAAAAGACAAGACTGTTCGAGATGTAGCATTGAGATGTAGATGGATGACTGTAAGTTCTCTTATTCTTTTTTAACCAATTTATCCACATAACATAGTTAGCGGAGTAATATAGATGTTATAGATAAATGTTGTAGTACAGGCCAAACCGCGAAGGTGTGTGCCTCATATCCTGTGGGCTCTATCTTGAGGAGGATGAATCTAATAATAAATGAAGCTAGCAAAGCGATATATAAATTGTACATTATGATGATTTTATTAAGATTAAAAAAAAAGGAAGTTATAAAAGAAAACTTGTCTATAAACCTCAATTTAAAACATAAAACTGAACTTTTGCTATGTATCAGAAACTCTGAATGATTCCTGAATGTGATTTATATGTTTTTTGCTTCTTGTATTCCACATATTTGTAGTTTTTTTTGGATTTCTCTACCACATATTTATTGTGTGTGTTAATAGGTATTTTTTCATGCATTGCATGTATGATCCCCCCCCCCCCCCCCCCCCCTTCCTCCTCTTTGTTTGCTCCATTCTTCGCTAAGTCCGTCCTTCAATTTCATTTACCCTTAAAGCCCAAGACTATCTTTGACAAAACTGTAGTTGAAGAAGTTCCCTTTTGGTGAAATCACAAAATTTTAGAAAGGATTTAAATGAGAAAGTGAAAGGTTTACCCCTTTTGGGTTTAAAGGGCCCTGCCTTCCCTGAGGCCTGAACAGGGTTCCTCAATGTTTGTAAAAAATGGTATTGCTATTTTAACTTCTCCATAAAGAATAATATAATACTACTGTGTGCGGACAAATGCAGCTAGTGGTTTTGTTAGAACAGCCTTCTGAAGCTGGAAGGCATTACATTCCCTTCTTTTGCAACTAAATCCAGCTATTTTGGTTTGCTTTAATAACATTTAGCTGTTCATTCTTCTTTTACTTTTTCCTTGTGGCAGAAAAAGGAGATTGGGAAGCGCAGAAAAGATGATCATAACTCAAGGAAAAATAAAGACAAAAAGGTATTGCAGTTTTCTGGGTTGCATAGTTGTCAGTTTTTTTTTCTTTTCCTAAGCCTACTAAAATATGAGGGTGTTTTCTGTCATTGTGTCTGTTGAAATTTCCACCTACTTTTGTGTGCTACAGTATAGACCCATATGCAGCCATGTCCATATCAATGTGGAGAGGTCATTGGTTTCATTTTGTCATTTACCTGCAAGTATTAAGTGTGTCTTTGTCGACTGTAGACTGACTGTTGTACGTTACAGTATAGACCCACATGTTGCCATGCCCATATCACTGTGAAGAGGTCATTGATTTCATTTTTTCATTTAACTGTTGAAGTATTATGCATCATAATGTTGATGACAGAATATTAAATTCATCGAATGGGCAAAACTGGGATCTTTATTTGTTTAATAAGAAACTTAGATGTTCACAAGCAAATGGATTACTGGCATTTTTGGTTAAGCTGAATTACATTTTTTAAAAGCTATCTCAGTATTGCTTCCTGATATTTGTGCCGCTCTTCTGGTATGCAATTTGCAATTCCCTTCAACGTAGCTGTCCTGGTCATTCCTTACTGCGATTCTCTCTTTGAGCACTAATATATACGCCCCACGTCCAATGAATTCCTATATTCTATTTGTATTGTCTCAGTCATGTCGGCTTTTCCGTGGGGGAAGTTCGTCGCAAGGCTCTTCAGTACCTTTCAATATTCTGTCAAGAAAGGTTTATTGGTTCGCCGTTTAATCTTAAAGTAAGTTCAAAAGTCATCTTTATCTCCACATGTGACCCACTTCTGTTTAAACACAATAAAACTGTTACCTTAATACCTATGCTCTAGCAATCAAGGGTTTGACCTAGTGGTCAATGAAGTGGGTTTAAATCTTGGAGGCCAGGGTTCACTTCCTAGCAGAGACACAAAACACTAGGTGATTTCTTTTCATCTGCTTAAACTTTGGTGAGCAGAGTTACTCGGTACCTATGTTGATGGGAGGTAGCAGATTATTGATGGAATAATCAAGGTGTGCACAAGCTGCCTGGCACCCCTTTATTCCAAAAAAGAAGAAAAATAAAAATACCTATGCTCTATCAAAGTAGGCCATTGTAATTGGGACAGAGAGAATTGAAGAGGCCCTAGTCTCTCTGTTTCTTTGTTTCAAACATGTCTTTACCATGTGGCTTTGTGGGAACTAAGGTAGCAATTAGCTTTATTTTCTAAATGGTGCGGAAATCCTTAGGTGTTGAGGGCAGAAGTAGAAAATTGATTGCAGCAGCCAGCTGTACTACTAGCTTGTATGTGGTAGGCTTTGTGGATGAATAAGTAGAGGGTGAAAGGAATGATCTTATTATTTGAAATTGAAATGTGGAAATGCACAATTATAGACTGTTGGATGAGCTTGATTTAAGAGTTCCCCCTTGACTTTGTGCACAGGAGAAAAAGTATGATGGTGCTTTCTTTGCACAGGAAAAAAGAAGAAGGTTTTGCTGGACTTTCAGTACGTTTTGGTTAAAGGATAAAAGAAGGAAGGGAAGGAGAATGTGCAGATAAAAAGAGAGGAATGGGACGAAAAAAGGAGAAAATCATTAACATTTTGTGTCTATCAGTATGGAGAGAAAAAGAAAGAGAAATTCACATCATTAGACATTGATATCCTTAATATATGTTTACTTTTTGATCATATTCTGGAGCTCCATTTGGCATTGTAGAAAACATTACTAAAAGATATTAGGTCCCTTCCCACTTTTTGTTTCAAGTCGACCCCACCCAAGAAAACATGCAAAGTCAAAAGGGGAATTTTCTAATTGTTTTCTTCTTAAGTGCTTCTTAGTGAGTGAAGGATCATTTTGTTCTGCAATGGGTTTTAGGTTTGCCAAGTATGTTTCAAGATCAGTGTCAGATTGAAACAATCAAAAAATAAAAAAGAGGATCAGTGTCAGATTGAAAAATAAATCTCTGCAAATATCATGACTAGCTGGATGGTTCTCCCCGTACCAAAAATGAAACTGGACTTGAGCCTCTTATAACATCCATCCCTTTTATTTGTGATGTTCTTCTTTCTCTTTCCATCCAAATACAGAAGAATAGCTCTTGAAATCTACCTCTTTGGCCAGCAAATAATACTGGTGAGATGTCACTCAATTCCTCCAGACTTGGGCAACTTTCTTATTCCCACACACAAACACAAAAAGAAGGTTCTATATCTCAATAAACCAGTCATAATGGAGGAGTGATGGTCCACTGTTTCTGCAGCTTTCTTGCAGAACATACAATTAGCACTAGTTCTTTTCCTCTCTCCGAAGTTGTCACCTGTAAGGGGACTTTGAAAGCAAAAATAGGACGCTTTACTTGGTCCTTCACTTTTCCAATTATTTTCAAATGAAAAGGTGTCTCGTCTGTGCTGCTAAGGGCATGATACTGAGACTTCAGAATATGAGCCGCTGCTATGCCTTTTGACTAAGCAGGATTCAGCTCCTCAAGTTGTGCAATGAGCTTGAAAAAGAAAGAAAAAATAACGGACTCCACCTCCCAGCCTGTGCTATCCTTCAAAAACAGGAACGGATGTGAGTTACATTATGTGAAAAGTGACAACTGCATTTTGAGATACAAAAATTTCCGGTTGTCCTTATTTCTTCTATACTGGTATCTCACAGATACATGCTCCCCCCTCCCTTTCGGAAGGAGGCCACGGTATCTTACTGATGGCTCTCTGCCCCCTTCGAAGGATTCTTTTTTTGCCTTCCATCCTTCAGCTTTTAAGGTCACATTTCTCGTTTTGATGTTGGATCGATCTCATTAGATAAGAACTCGATATGTCTAGGTACTTGGGGCGCCAAAAACTGTACAGACCCACAAAAACACACCCACACACACCCGCACACACTCTCTCTCTCTCTCTCGCACACACACACACAGATTCATACTCTACATGCACACATGTCCAACTGGACAAAAAATACATTTTGCTCTCAGGAAAATCCTATTATTTACTATATACTTGCATCTGTTATATGGAGATTTGGTGGGCACGTAGAGAGAAACTATCAGTAACATGAGAACCCTTTAGTATGAAAACGCACGACCTTAAGCTTTTGGGGTGGATGCTCAGAGTCTTTCAAACCATTTTTACATCAATGTAATAGGAATCACTGGTCGATGTCCAATTGACTTGCACAGGCGTTGTAGTTTTCGTGGGTTCTTACTCCATTTGCTCCTCTAGCTTTAAGTCACCTTCACTTCCAAATATTAGTGTGATTAAAGCCAGATTTCATACCCTAGTTGAAACTATCTACATGTAGATATTCCATCAATGCTCATTTTTGACATGTGATGTTTGGTCATAAAGAAAACTACATAGCGGTACAAGTTTCTTCTTGAAGTCATATCATGACCTTTCCTCTTCAATTTGGTTTGCAGTTTGTAAGTTTTGATGATTAAGAAAAATGAAAGAGCTGTTGCCAATTTCATGTTTCTTGATATACGAATCTGCTGGTGCTTCAGTGCTTGTGGCTATTTCCCTTATCTAATCTTTCATTAGGTAGGACAGCCCAAAAGCTGGGGTTTTAAAGTGTTGCTGACTTAATTTCTGAGGAAGAAATGACTTGCACCTTTAGCTAAGTCCTCGTTAAATACAAAGGGTATATCCGCCTTCTTAGACTGCTATGGACCTACGGTTTCTTTTCAATTCCAGATTCTAAGTCCTCTTTGAGTGCGTAGGGCTTATGAGCATCTCTGGACTGTTGTGCATCCATGATTTCTCATCAACTCCAGCTTCTCTTCGACAGCTTGGTGGAATAATTTGAGATTCATTGCTCAAATTACTTGTGGATCGACTAGTTTTTTTCCAAATACCTGAGAGAAATATTTACTTGCAACTGAGCTACGCCTTCTTGGAAAATATTATTCTTATTTGGTATTATTTTAATAAGGCAGTCCTGTACAGTTTTGTCAGTAATAACTTCTTTGTCATGCTTCCCTTGTTTTTGGTTTTAGGAAAAAGTTACAGATTCTATGCAAAAATCTACCCATGTTGCTAATCGTGCAAATGGTCCTCCCTATGCTCAATCTGTTATGTCAATGGACAGTGATGATGGAATTTCCTACAAAGGTTGGTTCTTATTCACACTTCTGGCTTTACATTTAAAATTGAGTGAAATCCCATGTTCTTGAGAGTCTTGCTTTTTTCTAGATAGACATGCCTGGAATTGAACTTAGAGGAAAGTTTACGTAATTGGAAAGATGAAAGGATAGAGAGGATGATTAGCACATCACCTTTTGACTGCTACATGCATAATCCGAGATTATCATGTCTGGCATTAGTTGTGCGCGTTGCTTGATGCGTCAATATGCATGTGTTGTTGGACTTTAGAAGCCATCTTTTTCTTTCTTCCAGAAGGTATTTTTGTATATAAGTTTCATCCCGAGATTATACCTCTTCTCAGATTTCCTTAAAGTTGAAAAGCTAGACTGGTGGAGATGTGAAAATCAATAGCTCGATTATCAAATTTTCATCTGTTTTCCAATAAAAGTGCGAAGTTCCTAATTTTCTATTGACATGTTTAATGGTCCGGCCAATTTATTAGTTCTGAAAATTGATGCTAATCAAGAACTTTGAACTCAATTCTTAACAGAATCCATTTGAACTTCTGTTGTGCGAAGGTGATCCAATTGTTTTCATAATTCACGATTAGCTGAAGTTTGTAATATTGGAAATAATATGATCAGGAATGCTCTTTATCACTTTGGAAGAGCTAGTTCCTCGGTGAATGCACAGACGATATCATCTAGTATGGAGAATAACAAGAAAATGATTTCTCTTTTTCCTACGGAAGTTAATATACAAGTCAAGAGGAATGTAGCATAGAAGATGTCATGTTGTATGTAAAAGATGTCATGTAGCATGGAGATATCTTCGGTCCTCCATGGATTAATCAAGGAACACTCTTTTTCCCTTAGCACTTATAATCGTAACAATCAATAGATTCAAAATGGAAAAAGGGCGAGAAGGAGCAGTCAGTATTACTGTTTTGATATGAAACTGTAAAGACTGTATATCTTCTGAGTTTTCTTTCCTTCTCTTGTATCTTTTTTTTTTTTTTTTTTGAGAAGGTAACATTTGTTGCATATATATTAACTGTATCAAAACAGAAATAATTAACCATAATTACAAAGGGTGGTACAGGAAGATTCTCAAGTCCTTACAAGGATCCTAAAACATCAACAAAAGACTTCTCTTGTATCTTTTTGTGGGAATTTCTGAGGAGTGTGTGCATCTTGTTACTTTTGCAGCCATTGGTGGTACCACCGGACAGCTTCTTGAGCAAAATGCTCAGGCCTTGGATCAAATATCTGCAAATTTTGCTGTTTTTAAGGTCAGATGACGGTTCTTCACAATTTCATTTCCACTGCCTCACCTCCGTTTCTTTGTGAGAGATGACACAAATGGTGTCGGATCAAATACGTGAACAAACCATACGAGTCATTTTCTGTTTTTTCTTTTACTCCCTTGACCAATTATATGCGATATAACTGAAATGGTAGACTGAACAAGAAGTATGTTTAAAAAAATAATTGGTAATTTATTAAGATGGTGGAAGCATCAATCATTACGAGTTCAATTGTTTAAATGAACTTAAGTTCTGAAAGAAGTGAGAATTGCATTAAGTCATGTCTAACATTTCGAGATGTACCAGAAAGTTTCATATAAGATGGGATGGAAGGAATAGTATTTCCATAAAAACTGAGAATATTTACCTCTTATTCTGTTTTTTATATGAACATTACTTTACCCTTCTTGACCATTTGGTTTAGATCAAGTGTAACAAAGATATTGAAATCATTGAGCTTCATTCCATCATCCTGCTGTTAATACTTGCTAGCAAGATCCCCTCTTTTTATTTCACTCACCCACTGCATGGTATGTTGCAATTACTCCTTTTATGTACTGCTAAGGTCAAGTCAGCTGTACTTTCCGTGTTAAACCCATGTGGATAGATTGTTACTCATGCATCATTTGGTTATTGGTAGTATTGACATCTTTCTTATTTTTGTTTCGGTGCAGATCCAAGAAAACATTAACCTTTTCACTCAAGCTCGAAACAATATCCTCAGCATCTTAAATGAGTATGTTGTGGTTCATCCTTCCCCCTCTCACTGGATATGTATGTGTGTATGCTTTTATGCAGTGAATATATGTAATGAAGCTTATGCCATCTCTTTAGCATAAATGAATCTTATTTGCAGTGAGTGATACATGCTTTTATTAAGTGGTACTTTTGCATGCATTGTCATCTAGTTTTGCTCAAACTTATGTAATCTGTTTGCATTATGTATGGCTTGACTTTCAACTTTTATAAGCATATCGTGAATGTCTTCAACTCCTCTTGATTGTCCATATTGGCTAATATGTCTTGTTGCAGCTTGGTTTAAAATGGGAATTCTCTAAAATTGTGAAAATATGAACCATGACTTGCGCATTGTAATTGAAAACATATGTGAAATGACTTTCGAGATTAGGAAGAAATTTGCCTCTCATACTTATAGCCTGTTTGACCAAGCTTCTTTTTGGCAAAAGTGCTTTTTTTTGGCCAAAAGCACTCTTGGCCAAAAATTGAGGTGTTTGGCCAAACTTTTGGAAGGAAAAAAAAAGTGCTTTTGAGGAGAAGCAGAAGCAGTTTTGGAGAAGCAGAAAAAAGTAGTTTCTCTCCAAAAGCACTTTTTTGATAAGCACTTTTGAGAAAAATACACTTAGAAGCAGTTTTTTTAAAACTTGGCCAAACACTAATTGCTGCTTAGAAGTGCTTTTCAAACTAATTAGCCAAACACAAACTGCTTCTCACCAAAAGTACTTTTGAGAAAAGCACTTTTGAAAAAAAAAAATTCTCAAAATAAGCTGATTTTTGCAGCTTGGCCAAACGGGCTATTAACCTGAAAGATCCCTAATCATTGAAGTCTTTTACAGATCTGTTAATAAAGTATTTGCTTGTGCTATATGCTAAACATGAATCTTGAATGAATGATTTTTTTATCTCCTTCAACCGAAATGTTTTGCTTTAATATGTGTCAACTTATAAATTGTGGAAAATAATACTTGACGATGCATTCCTGTTTTAGCCTTTACTGTAATTCTACTCGTTTTGCTATTTCAATGCATGCTAAGATAAACCATTTCTTGCAGTCTGAATGACATGCCAGAAATAATGAAGCAGATGCCACCCCTCCCTGTAAAGCTAAATGACGAGCTTGCTAGCTTAATCATTCCGTCTCGGCCACCCTTGCCAAATAAATCATGAGATCCTGGTTTCTATAGGGCTTGGGCTATGGATAGATGTTTCTTAGATTTTACTGAAGTTGAGATCCTATGGATTACTTAGATAGCATAATAAAATAGTGAATCTAGTCTAGTTATTCCTCGTGGAAATATGTATCAAGATAAGTTCCTTTGGGCTGTTAGGACTCTCCATTTGTTTACATTAGTTAATTCTCTTTTTATATTATGTAGTTTTGTGTTTGATGTTGATTTATTTTAGCTAGCTGGGTTAGCATGTGCATATAGTTGGAGTAGGAAAGATTGCTGTTTCTGTAAATTAATTGATGCAAATAAGTTAAATCCACTGTTTTTTTTGCAATGCACAATTGTTACGGACTAAAATTCTTTCCCTGGCAAAGGCAAACTCCTCTTTTCCCTTCTTGTATATGGTATAGTGAGGGTGTGCCCGGGCCAATTGCCATAGCTAACATTGTAAAGTACTCTTTTTCTCCTCTAAAGTTATTTGGGGCAATTAATTATAAAGTTTGGTTGTAGCAGTTGAGGTCCTTGAGGATTAAAGCATCTATAAAAGATAGCAATGAACAATGGACTAGTTGATCAAAGATAAAAGTCCCTTGGTGATTTAAAGCTTTTGACTTTGGTAATCCAAATGTCACTATTTGCATGATGAAGGCTGATATATTCTCTTCTTCCTTTTTTTTTAACCAAAAAAAGGGTTTATATTGAGAAACTATAAGTTATATCCATTTATAAGTAGCTTATTAGAAAAATTAGTTAATTCATAAAATATTATTAATATTAGTCAATTAGCTATTTGTAGCAAAGAAAAGGTCAAATTTTTATTTTCTTTTGAGTGAGTGTTATTAGAATAGATTGTATATATCTTGAGTTTGAATCTCAGTTTTGGGATGATTTGGTGGAGTTTTGAGGTGATTTGAATTGAAAATTCGAAGTAAAGCTGAACATGGAAAATAATAATACGTGTATCACATATGTATCATATTTATATCAAATGTGTATCACATGTATATCTATGCATACCTGTGTCTGAGATACATACGTGATACAAGTTTGATACATGTGTCGCAGAAGAATCTTTTAAACTTGATTTTAACTACGAATTTTGATGTCAAATCACCTCTAGTCTTGCTCAAATTTGGTATATTGCCTCATCTATACGTTATCAACGAATTCCAACCATACCCATGGAAAAAGAAATCCTTTTTAATAAATATTTTATATTATTGGTAGTGAAATTTGACTCTAAACTAGTCTAACTCGCCTTCAAACTTCGTTAAATTTTGTATATTGCCTCATATATATATTTTCAATGAATCACAACAATACCCGTTGGCAAAAAACTTTTTTTTGCCTATATTTTTTGAATGTTATATATTATTGGTAATTGTTTTGGCTATTTAAGTAGTAATGACTAACATGGCTAGTAATTGGTAAATATTGTCTTTCTTTGGTATATTCCCGTAAGATAAACTACCTAAATTGTCATTCTAAAAGCAATTTCAACCAAAACTAGCCCAAACAAAATATCTACCAAAAATAGCCCAAATGTCATGTAACAACCGGACTGACCGTTTTGAGCTTTTGCACTTTGCTCGCCAGTTCTCGGGCATGGCTTGTCCCGTGTGATGTATTATGACTTATGTAAAACGTTGGCTTTGGTTTTCAGGGTAATCAGAATGAATTTGGAAGAACAATTCTCAGTTTGAAGCGTGAAATTTGAAAGGTTTGACCAAGATTTGACTTGATTGTATATGATCTCGGAGCAGAATTTTTATGATTTGGTTAGCTCTGTTAGGTGATTTGGGACTTAGGAGCGTGATCAGAAATGCATTTTGGAAGTCCGTGGAAGGTTTAGGCTTGAATTGGCGAAATTGAGATTTTAGCATCTTCCGGTTGATAGGTGAGATTTTGATATAGGGGTCGGAATGGAATTTCGAAAGTTGCAGTAGCTCCATTGTGTCATTTATGACGTGAGTGCAAAATTTCAAGTCATTCGGACGTGGTTTGGCTGGGTTTTTGATCAAAAGCGGAATTTGAAAGTTCTTGAAATTCTTAGGCTTGAATCCGATGTGATTTTGGTGTTTTAAGGTTGTTTTGAGCGTTACGAAGGTTGGAACAAGTTTGGATGAGGTTATGGGATGTGTTGGCATGTTTTGTTGAGGTCCCGAGGGCCTCAAGTGAGTTTCGGATGGTTAAACAAATCAATTTGGGACTTTGGACTTGGCAGTTTTTGCTAGTTTTGTGTTGCAGACAAATTGTTCTTCGCATTCGCGGTCAGGGACTCGCGTTCGCGAAGGGTGTTTTTATATGTTGATATTTTTGTTTTACGCGTTCGTGAGGAAGGGGATGCGAACCCGAAGGTAGAGGCTTCATGTGCATTGCGGACGCGAGGCTGGGGTCGCGTTCGCGAAGAGGAGTAAGGTCGTTGGGCACCCCAGACCCATGTGATATGCGTCCGCGAGAGTTGGACCGCGTTCGCGAAAGCCTGGTAAGGCGAAGCATCGCGTTCGCATGGAAATTGTACGCGTTTGCGAAGGAAAAAATGGAGAGCCAGTGAATTTGGTCTATGCGAACGCGAGAGACCGGTCGCGTTCGCGAAGAAGGTAATTTTACTTGGGGTTGAATGTTTAAAAGTGAGTTTCGCGAGCTTTGGTCTATTTTCTCCATTGTTGAACGATTTTGGAGCTTTTGAGAAAGATTGAAGAGGGAATCGAAGGGTAACACTTGGAGGTAAGATTTTTAAACGCTATACTCGATCCTATGTTGATTCTTACTTGTTTAATCATGAAATATGTGGAAATTAAAGCCTAAAATTGGGGTATTAGTGCTTGAAATTGGAGAGTGTAAATGGAAAATTTGAGGGGACAATTGAGGCCCAATTTTGATGTTCTTGGTATGTATAGACTCGTGAGAGATGAGGATTCCATTAATGTTAATTTCGTCGGATTCCAAGATGTGGGCCCGGGGCCCGGGTTTGAGCAATTTCGGGATTTTTGATGTAAATTGGATATTTTCGAGTGAGCTTTGTTCCCTTAGCATATTCTAATGGTT